CATTTATATATATTTATTATTTTTATTATATTGACCTTTCACCCGTGCCTGATTAACAATACAGAAGGTACAACAACGTAGCTCATGTGCACTAATATTACTGCATCCAATAATACAAAACTCACCTTTGGTCTGTACAAAGTAACTTGTATTGGCTGTGTTTTAGTAGACTAGTATTTTGTTAAATACAGTCACATTTCAAACATTATATATGTATATAGATCATTGCTATTTTGATATAAGTTCTTAAACTTATTTTCTTAAACATAGACCAGTAAATAAAGAAGTATACCAAATAATTCTCTCTTCTAATTACGACCTTTGTACTTGGTTGTTGCTTGATATAGGTTGCTAAGCCTTTTAAAATTTTGTGCATGGAGGATATGAAATAAGTTTTTTTAGGTTTTATATATACAGTTCAATAACCAAAAAAATCATAAACTACTATATCAATACCATAAAAATCCACTATAATTTATCAAGTTTAGTAACTTAGCTGTATTTCATTCTAAACAAATATGTAATTTTGAGCAGACTAAAGACACAACCTACCTCCTTGAAATCTTGGTTCAAAAGAAAGAGATGGCATCCTAAGAATTTGAAATGGCTAAGAAAGCCACTAAGGGGACATTCTGAGCTTTCAATTGGTTATTCATGTCATATATAGAAGTGTATATAAGGAAGCATTTCCAAAAATGGAAAGAGGTGAGTGGGATGCCACTCTGTTTGATTCATCACATGAACGATATCTTAGCAAATAGAAAAGATAAGAGGTTCTTATTTTATATTCTAGCTTGTCAATATCAGAATACAACATTAAAAATTGTTCTTTCAAACAGTAAACTAAATGTATGGTGTCTTGAGTCTGTTTTACTTCACCACATAGTAACCTAAATTAATTCTGGTATTGTGGCTAAGTCACCTAAGCCAGCAAGGCAGATATCTGTTGTTAAAATAAAGCTAACAGAAGTTTTTGTGTATATAGTGTATTTACATACACACTTATTACAATTCCAAAGATGCAATTATCTATTAATGTAAATCACTAACTAAGCCTCACATAGAATACTGTGTACAGTTTTGGTCTTCTTATCTACGATAGGTTACTGGATTACTGGAAATGGTTCAGAAGAGGACTACTCTAATGATTCTGATGATGAAAGGATTATTTTATAGAAATAGGTTGCAATCTCATATTTTCTCTTAAAAAAATGGAAAAATACAGTCTTATTTGAGTTTACTTGTTTATCCAGGGGATTGATAACAAAGATTTTTTTGTTCTGCATTCTGAAGACAAAATAAATGTTTAAGATTTAGAAAATAAGACTAGACTTCAGGGGCGAGGGTATTGCAATCAGGTCCGTGTGTCTATATCTGTCTGTGTTTCAGCATATGCATCTTGAAGACTAACAAATCAATGTACATGAAAATATTAAACACGATGAGAAGTCAGTATAGAACAGTCTTCAAATTTGGTCTGGATCACTTTGAAGCACTTTTAATAATGGGGAGATAGGGCATTTTCCCAGTTTTGGGTTAACAACTCTGTAAAGTGTGATCAGAGTTATACCAAATTTCATGGACACATTAAAGTTGAGACTCCTCATCACACTACAAAAAAATGATCTGGATCATTGATCATTCTGGGCCTGAGAAGGACTTTCAGTTTTCAAAGATGAAATTTGACATTATCTTGAAAAGGAGCAGTGGGTATGCAATATCTCTGATTGCTCTTGTTCTTCTCACTGTGATTAGTTTATGGAATGAGCTGCCATCAGCAGAAGAGGAGGCCAACATCTTACAAGTTTAAGAGGGAAATAAATTATCTCCTGAAAAATAAAGGTTGTTTTTACATTTTCTTTCTCTCAGTGATGGGTGTGCAAGGACAGCAATTATATGGTCACTTGTTGTCCATTTATTACATTGTTACTGTTAATAATTTAAGTGCTCTTTCAAGAGGTGATGTCTAAGTACTTAATTTTCAATATATATATATCTCTATGATTTCATATATTCTTCAAATAATAATCCAGACAAAGGCCCACTTTATACAGTAGCAGGTGAAATCCATCATTACTCACATATATGATAAAATTCAGTTAATGGTTCAATGTTTGCTATAATTAATTACACTACATATCACATAATGTGCTCTTTGGCCTCTTTATTATTTTACAATTTATAAACATTTAGTGAACTAAATATTTTTATGTGAAGTTTCATGAAATGTAATTAATAGCACAATACTCATTAGGCTGTTTGGTTTCTACATTAAAAATTATAGATTAATATAAATTATAATATAAACATATATCTTATTTTTCACTAACAAAAAAGGTAAGATATTATAAGTATTACTAACACTAATACTTGTGAAATATAATGATAAACGCCTTGCTAGATTATAAGATAGAAAAAAAACTACGTATGCCCTACTACAGCTTCTGTTATTGTGTTAGTACAAACCCAAATATAGGGCTAGGTACTGTTTTTACCGGTAAAAAGAGTGCCCAGCTTGACATTTGTGATACTGTTTCTGCATTAGTAATTGTAAAACTATTAGTATTAGGCCTACTACACCACAACACTAGTTTATACTTCGTTGTCAATGTCAGTTGACTTTCCCGAATTAGCTACACTGTAAGTTGGAACTTACAGTTATAAAAAGAAAGATCCAATTAGCTCTGGGAAATGTACAAAATAGTATCTTACAATAATACTAAAAAAAAAAAAAGGAACAAAACGATCTGCTCAAATAAATAGTCCGTTAATTGCGTCACTATACCATTTCGGTATTCCAAGCTTCTTCTGCTTCAATATTTTGTCCTCCCCTAGTAAACTGTTTACACCTCGTCGCAACTTCTACCAAGAACAATTATTTCAAGTAGGGCATAATTTAAACACTTTCGCTGTGCAGTTTATTAGTTTAAGAAAAAGTTTCAAAATATCAAATTGGTGTTATATTTATCGGATAAAAGAAGATTTCCAAGCTGAATAACTTTTGTTATCAAATTGTATCAATCTTAAATCCTCTTCTGTTGTAATTTTTTTGTTCTACTTAAACATTTACTGCCTGTTCCTTTAGGCTTCATAACTATTATTCATCTGGAAGTAAAATTATTTGTTTGTCAATTTTTATTGTTATGTTATTTATTAATTAAATTATGCCTTTGAGATATGATAACGCGGTTGTTTTTGTGTGTTTTCTTTTGTATTTAATGGCTTTACCATATTTACCTTAAAATTATTTATTGTGGCGTGAACGCCTTTTGTAAGCTGGCTAAACATAATTATAATTCTATATTGTTACGTCTCCGTTCGTTAGTTAATATTCCGTAAAAATTCTTACCGACACAAGTCCTTTCTTAAATAAAAC